GAAAGCGGTTGGCTCCTTTAGGCTGTTACTTACGGTAAACGTGGAACGGGGAGCCGCGACGAGAAGCAAGCAAGATGCAATTTTATTAATAAAATCATTAAAAAAGAACAAAAGAGTTTGGCGACTACTTTCACTGCACACTTGTTCACAGTGATGCCCTCTACCACTGTGTAAAATATAATTCACTTTTACTGTAGAAATTCAGAGAAAATTAGGGTCAAAGTGTGCCATTTTAGTCTCAAAAGCATTTTTTAAAATTATTTTTTTTTAAATCTAAAAGAGTTCCCTGACTACTTTCACTGCACACGTGTTCACTAAGATGCCCTCTACCACTGTGTAAAATATCATTCACTTTTACTGTAGAAATTCAGAGAAAATTGGGGTCAAAATGTGCAGAATTGGTCCCAAAAGCACTTTTTTAAATTCATTCATCAAAATCATTACTAATAATGATTTTATTAGTAAAATTGCATCTTGCTTGCTTCTCGTCGCGGCTTCCCGTTCCACGTTTACCGTAAGTAACAGCATAAAGGAGCCAACCGCTTTCAAAGTGCGGACCTCTTTACCGCTGCCGACGAAATGCAGGGCCACTTTACCGCGGTCGTGTGGACAGGGGTGTAAATTTACACCACCTACAGACTCGGTGTATATTTTGTACCTTAGAGACACTTACGCTCACATCCAGATCGAAAAGTGTCATTTTTGTCCGTACACTCATTACACCCTGTGTGACGAAGAACGGCCCTAGCATTTAAGTTGATTGACAAGTGAATTAGCCAATCTCAAGTGTTCTTGTTCTGTGTTTGATTGACAGCTAATTCGGGCCAATCAGAAGTGTGTATATTGAAGGTGCACTGAGAGCACTACGTTTGCTAAGTTTATCGTTTGCACAGTGTTTTTTACGGACCACGTGGTTGTTCTCCGTGTGCGTTATAAAAAAGTGAGTAGTGGTTGGACTGAGGTCACATAAATGAACCCTGCTGTACTTATAAACTGTTCATAAGGCTATTATAACATAAGTGAACTGTAGGTATATTTTAGGCACATTTGAATATATGCTCCTTTGTTATTGAGTGCTGCTTAGAGCTAATATGCTAACCACTGTGTGCTAAATGTTATTGGTGTACATAATGCGTTAGTTAAGTAACTCATTCTAATTTAGACTTTCTTTCTGTTATTTGCAGGACCACACACACACACACACATAAATATAGAACCACAGAGATATAGATATCTGTTGTGAATCAGTGTGCTATACTTTTAATAAACCCAAAAATTGGATCATCTCTACACAGTGCATTCTTACCGATACTCTCTGGTAGTCACAATCCATTACAAACCAGATAAACTTGCTCTCTCCATAACACCCTAATTTGGCCTTACGCAAGGTTCATAACCGAGGCCCACAGTCTTCAGCTACGAAATGAGCCGTGAATAATTGACCACAGGGAGCGCCGCTGAGCTGATTCTGGGCCCGCCATCACAACAGGGGCCTTCATCCTTTTAACTGCATTTAACCACGATTATAGACACGCACACACACACACACACACATACACACAAATAGACCCAGAAATACCAGTGATGACCTTAAACTCCGATTGCGTTTATTTGCCATTTGCAGTAAAAAAAAACACATTGGAATACATTAGCAAAAAGTCACCAGTGTGCACAGACAAATACAGACATAAAACAACATTAAAAGTATGGAAATAAAACAAATAAGGGCACAACGACAGCAGATAGTCTTGTCTGGGCTCAAACCCACGACCTTCAGGTTCAAAGGCCAATGCTCTACCAACTTCGACACTGCATGAGCACTGCAAGAGCCACTGCCAAAGGCATGGCAAGTTCATTTGTATAGCGCAATTCATACACAAGGCAACTCAAAGTGCTGAACAAAATAATATAGCATTAAAATAATAAATAATCACAGAACATTAAAAAGAAAGTTGAAAATAAAAAATCCCTCAGTCGTATGCACAGCTAAACAAAACTGTTTTTAACCTGGTTTCAAACATTGTCAGAAAAGTGGCCTGTCTCACATCTTCAGGAAGATTGTTTTTAGCAGCATGAATCTGAAATGCAGCCTAGTTCTGACTCTGGGCACTAACAGGAGTCCAGTCCCTGTGCTCCTCAGAGTCCGGGCTGGTTCATATGGGACTAACATGTCACTAATATATTTTGGTGCGAGGCCATGGAGAGACTTGAAACAAGCAGAGCTGTTTTAAAGTCTATTCTCTGAGCCACAGGAAGCCAGTGCAGAGACCTGAGGACTGAACTAATGTGGTCGTACTTCCTGGTTCTTGTCAGGACTCGAGCTGCTGCATTTTGAATGTACTGCAGTTGTTTTACAGCCTGTTTGGACAGACCTGTGAGCAGGCCATTGCAGTAGTCTAACCTACTGGAGACAAATGCATGGATGAGAATCTCCAAGAGAGCCACTGCCCAACAGCCAGTTGCCAGAGTGGGAATGTGTGGTGGGAATATGTTTATTGTTGTCCAACATTTTCTAAAATGTGCTCCAATTCATACTGACTTCATTTGAAAAATGCTGCAATTATTTTAAATTAGTAGAATAGATGCTGAGATAAATAAGTGTAAAAGGGAAAGTCCATAAAGTGAAACCCAAGATGTTCAAGATTAAAAACATCACACAGTACAAAAGTATATAATACATGTTTTAAAGTTTAAAAGGTTGTTTGTTTTGAGTATAATTGTTGTTTTGATAACTTCTTTAGTTTCTGGTCATAAAAATGTCATCATTAGTAAGATAATAAGTAATCTCAAAATTGTTTTGACTTTAGGGAGAAAAACAATCTCATTCACATACTGATATCTATTGTTGTTTTTAAATTGGCCGTGTCTCAAGGATTGTTTTTCAGACTCTGCCACACTGTGTGAGAGGTCACTGCTGGACACTGGACACCAAAGCCCACCCAGCCACAGGTCACAGATCAAAGAGCAAAGGAAAATGCCACCTCCTTGCCCCTCCCCACGCCACTGCAGAACTGAGTGGGTGTGAGAGAGACCGGGGCCATGAAAGAGAGGTATCTGGAGACGTGATGGGTGGAGCGTCAGGTAGAGACCTAGAGGGAGTTGAAAGTGTGTCTAGTTGGTTTGCATCACCACAGTGTGACCTTTGACACCTACAGGTGGTTCGAGGAGTCTTGAGACACAACCCCAAAATTCACATACACACACACACACACATACACACTCATACACTCACACATTCACATTTACATATAGATACATGAAAAAGCAGAACATGAGAAAAAAGCATTAAAAGTTTACTCCAATGTAAACACATATTTTTAATTGTCTATCACTTGAATCAGTATTTTTTGAGACCAGAAATGTTCATTTGAATTCTATATTGTCATGGACTTAATTGACCTCTGTCCTGACACTTTTGATGTTTTGATTTTGTACTGTGTGAAGTAATTACATTGATGAGAATTAGATCTGATAAAAACACAAATTAGAGAAGTAAATTGCGCTTGCTTTTTGTCTGAGGGACATTAGCAACAGCATGAATAGAAATTGTGTTAAAGTAGAATCAAAGTGTCTTAACCATAGAGAGTAACTACTGCATTACAAGCTGTGTACAGGAACTGAGACACTGCACCATTGACAAGAAGTGCATCGCAAATGACCTAATGTGCTTCGAGTGAAAAGACTGTATCTGGAGATCCTGATGTGCATCTGGACCGAGAACCATGGCTTGGACCCTACTGATGTCCAAGATGACCTGACCTGATGACGACTGAGACTCATCCTCAGAGGACCTGAGGACCTGAGGATCTGAGAGAGAAAACTGGGGAGTGATGTTTATATTTTTGAAATCATACATTGATGAGTGCTAAATGAGAGAGATACTCATGATTCTTTCTTTTGTTTTTGTTTGTCCCTAGCTTCTGGACATCTGATGATCTATTGGACACAGCCATTTGCAGAACAAGAACCAGCCAATGAAAACGTCTATTGCCGATGCTATTGCTACAACCAGAACCTGTGACCAAATGCAATATAAATGTTAAGTATTCAGACATCTGACAGACAAAAACTTTGAAAATGATAAAGTATGATTATTGTAGCGTTTTAGTAGATGTCAAATAGTAGTAAAAGAGTAGAATTTGACTTCCTTTGTTTTTCATAAACACATTTCCACATAAGAGTTAAAATAGTACCCTACAATGTTATCCTTCTGATAGAGCAGATATAATATTAGAATCAGAGTATTTTAGAGATATTAAAAGTGACAGAAGTCACAAACTAGGAATATGCCTTTGCTCAAGCTGCAGCCGAGCTTTTGAGTTAAAAAATAGAGTAAAAATAGGAATAGATAAATGCATCAACCATAGATTCTTTCAAAAATAGAGATTATTTGTAGCCAGTGCTAATATCAAATGGTAAAGGGACCATTTCACAAGCATTTACTTCATGTGGCATGTCGGTGTACACCTTACCCTGAGCTGATTGGTGGGCGTCACCGAGCAGTGCCCATAAAGACACGGGAACGCGCAGCGCGCATGCATATGTCTTTGTTTGGGTGCGGTGGTCACGGCGTTTGGTGACCGGCTGCCTCCTCTGTGGAGCACGCTTGTGGGCTTGGGCGCCCACAGTCTGGGTTGTGCGTGTGTGCATGTCCTCCTCCTCGGTAAGTTGCTCATTGTCCATCCTTTATTGGTTGGCCCTGTGCCAAAGCTGACCATCAAACACTGTTGCTTCAGACTTCGAGCTGCAGTAAGGACCAGCCAATAATCCACCTGGCTCTCCCCCTCCTCCCGCTGTCCGTGCGCACGAGTCTTGCGTTGGCCGGTAAGATCACAAAGTTTAGTTTAGTTTCCTCCAATCCTCCTAAGACTCGTGTCTCTCCTTTTGCAGGCACGGTTATCCACGTGCGGTCCCAAGCGGGGGCCGCCGCCCCAGAAAAGAAATCGTTGTTTTGTCCATTCATTGTCCTCATACACAACACTCACCACTGTGCACTGTCCTCACGGTGCCGTGAAAGGCGCACTCTGATTCGCCCACACACCAGCACTGCTGTGGGGCGTCTTCTGCGAGGCGTTCAGGTGCGCTCCGACTAAACGGCGTTCAACAGGAGTGATGATTAAATAGCCCATGCATTACAGGGTGTAAAATACTTAAAGGAATTCGTATTACTGACTCATGTACAAGAGCCGGAGGAGCGTTACTTCAAGTGTGTTTATTTCACCAGTTCTCTCTACGGGTAGCCCCAGGGACATAAATGCAGTTGCGCACTAGCCATATGATGCATACATTACATCCCCCTTCCTCAGTAATAACAATACACATTAAAGAATATCTGCTGAACAAAAGTGCATTAATTATTATTAACAGTAAACTTTTCTTGTGTGAATAAAACCACAACAAACTTTAACTTTTTTTTTTCAACCAAGTAAACACAACCAATGAATTAGAAGTGTGATCATTTTACAAGTTCAGCTTATCAGGTGGTTTCACCGCTCTGCCCCGTCTGGTATGATACTGCCCTCCTGCTTGTATTTGTGGACATTGGGGGACCACAGAGGGTGAACCTGGTGATTCCGGGGCGACAGTAGGAGACTGCTGCTCAGCTGCTGATGTCACTGGTGGTTCACGCCAGGGCTCTTCATCAGGTGTGACGTGACGTGGCTGGTTGGCAGTTGCAGTGCTGTTGCGGAGATGTTGGCTTGTACGCCGATACAGCTTACCTCCGCTGTCCACCACATAGGAGCGTGGAGCACTGTGGGGCTGCACAACTACTGCAGGGGACCAATTGTGTTTGCCAGGATGAGGTGCCATCCTGACTTCATCCCCCGGCTTTAGATCCGGACGAGGACGTGTTGCTCTCCTGTCATGATAGAGTTTCTGGGTGTGCTTTGTCTTGTCCAGAAGAACTTTTACTTTAAGAGAGTCGTAGCTCATGGGCTTGAGTAGAGCACGTGCAGTTGGCAGTTTGTTGCGAGGCCTCCTACCCATGAGCAGCTGAGCAGGTGACAGTCCAACTGATTCAAGCGGAGTCGTTCTGTAGTCTAATAGAGCAAGGTGTTTGTCAGGTGCTTTGCTCCAGAGCCTCTTTACTGTTTGCACTGCTCGCTCTGCTTCACCATTGGAGTGTGGTGTGTGTGGTGAAGACGTTTTATGCTGAATACCATAGCTGTTACAAAACTCCCTAAACTCTTCTGATGCGTACTGGGGGCCATTATCGGTTCTCAAGATCGCTGGAATGCCATGCCGGCTGAACTGAGCTTTTAGCGCTTCAATAGTAGTGCGGCTGCGCTGATCCTTCAGCATATCTGCTTCAATGTACTTGGAATAATAGTCCACTAGTACGACATATTGCTTGTCCTCAAACTCAAACAAATCTGACGCTACAACTTCAAATGGTAGCTCAGGTGTTTCTGTTGGCATTAGTGGTTGTTTTGGGAGTCTGTTTTGAGTTTCAGCGCATTTTGAACAGTTTTTTATCATGCTTTCGATCTCGGCCCCCATGCCTGGCCAATACAACACTTCCCGTGCGCGCTGCTTGCTTTTCACCATTCCCTGGTGGGAGTGATGTATGAGACCGAGCATGTGCTTTTGCATGCTGGGGGGTATAACAATACGCATACCTTTGTACACAACACCATCAGTTACAGCCAGCTGACTTCTTGAGTCCCAGTATGGCTGCACAGGAATGGGCACATCACGCCTGTTTTCCGGCCAGCCTTCCTGGATGACCTGTCGGAGGAGACTCAACTCATTGTTAGTGCAAGTCTGTAACTCCATATATTTCTCATTGCTTACAGACAGAAAGTTGATCATAGAGACACACTCAAGAGTTCCTGCCTCTGGCGTTTTGTCAGAGAGTTGTGCTCGGGACAGCGTGTCTGGTAACTCCATGTCTTTGCCTCTCCTGTATTTAACTGTAATGTCATACCACTGGAGCCTCAAACGCATTCTTTGGATACGCATTGGTGTGGACAACAGCGACTTTTTGTAAATGTCCTCAAGTGGCTTGTGATCGTTGTATACTGTGACATGTTTCCCAAATATGTAGTGGTGAAACTTGGTGCATGCATGGACAATGGATAACATTTCCTTCTCAATTTGCGCGTAACGAGTCTCTGCGTCGGTCATCGATCTTGAGGAGAAGGCCACCGGCTGGTCATCCTGCACCAACACAGCTCCAAGTCCAGTGCTGCTTGCGTCACAGAATATTTCCACTGGTTTTGACACATCATAGAATTTCAGCACAGGGTGATGTGTACAAACATGCTTGAGCTTATCAAATGCCTGCTGTTGTGCTGGTTGCCATGCAAACTCCACATCGCTTTTTGTGAGTTGTCTTAACGGCGCATCTATTTCACTGAGGTTTGGGATGAACTTTGACAGGTATGTTACAAATCCCAGGAAGCGTCGGACGCCTTCCTTGTCTGTAGGTGGCGGCATGCACCTTACAGCCTCAGTTTTTGCTGGGTCAGGTTTCAGTCCTTCAGCTGTTATTAAATGTCCTACATACGGCACTGCTGACTGCCGAACGTGGCATTTGTTAAAGTTTAGTCTCAGATTGTAGCTTGTTGCTCTCTCTACAACCTTTTTCAATATCTGGTCATGTTCTTTCAGGCTTGGTGCTGCAATGAGAATATCGTCCATAATGCCAGTTGCTCCTTTGATGCCCTCCAGCATTTGGTCCATGATGCGTTGAAATATCTCAGGTGCACATTTTATTCCAAATGGTAGTCTCAGCCATCTGAATCTTCCTATTGGAGTGTTGAATGTAGTCAGGAGTGATGAAGCCTCATCCAGCTCGATCTGCAAAAAGCCTGACTTTGCATCTAGTACAGAAAACACCTTTGTATTGGGAATGGTTGACACAACTTCTTCTATTGTGCGCATTGGATAGTGCTCTCGTCTCATAGCATTATTTAAATCACTCGGATCGATGCAGATTCTGATTTTATCTTTATTTGTGACCACCACCATAGAACTGACCCATTCAGTTGGCTCGTTTACTTTAGTAATGTGGCCGTCATGCACCATCTCATTTAGCTTTTCAATTATCTTGGCTCTGAGTGCGACTGGCTGTCTACGCACAGGGTGTACGACAGGTTTAGCCTCTTTATCAATCTTTATTGTGTACTTCCCTGGTAGTGTTCCTGTTGTGCGAGTCAGCTCTGGAAAGTTCTCCAGACCATCGGGTGCTTTTGGGACTGTGTCGGTGCTCACTTTGTTATTTACCCCACTATCTTGTAAAGAATCCAGCCTCACGATAAGACCTAGTGCCTCAGCTGTAGTGCCACTCAACACATTTTCTTGTGCAATGTCCACGATTTCAAATTCTGCTTTGGTTTTGTGCCCTTTGTGTTTTAGCAGAAGGTCGACTGCAGCAACAGGCTTTATTTTGTGGTTTGAATAGGTTTTGAGCAACCTTTTTGATGCTTTGAGCTCACCTGTGTGCTTTATGGACTGGTAACAGTTCAGAGTCAGTGTGTTACACTTTGCACCTGTATCTATCCTAAACTGCACCTTCTGACACAATATGTATGTGTCCACCAACCACTTATCATCTGCCAGTATTGCGACTGGAATGGCATCTGTTGTCAGGTTAATGTTGAGTATTTCCTCTTCACTTTCACTTGATGATTCTACATTCACTGCACTTACTGATCGACTGCGACACACCGCCGCCCAGTGGTTTGGCTTGTTACAGCATGAGCAAATCGAGCCTTTTGCTGGACATTTACCTTGGTTCCACTTGTGTTTGGGGTCTTTTCCACATTTTCCACAGCTTTTATATTTTTGTCCTGTTGGTGTGTACTCTTGCTGAACGTGGTTGTATGCCTTTTTGCTTTGTGCGTTAAACTTGACTTTGCTTGACAAAGCAGACACTTGTGAATCCTCCTCTCTCACAATTCTCATCTGCGTTTGAGACATTTCGAACTGCTGGGGAATTTCAATGGCTTTGGCTAGCGTTAGCTCTTCACCTTTTTCAAGCAGTCTCTCCTGGACACGTTTCTCTCTCACGCCCGCTATGATGGCATCAACTAGCATGTCATCTGCGTCAGCATACTCACAGTCCAGTAATAAAAGTCTCAAATCTTTCACAAAGTTGTCAAATGTTTCTGTTGAACCCTGTTTTCTTTGTTTGAAACGGTGCCTGGCGATCCTCTTGTTTTTCCTCGGTCTAATATAGCCTGCAAACTTGTCAAGCACTTTATCAGGGTCGTCTTTTTCACCATCAGCCCACTGGAGTGTCTTGTATATTTCTCTTCCTTGCTCCCCGATCCATGTACCAATCCACCCCGCCTTTTCCTTGTTCTCGCCGCGCGGACAGAGGACCGGCGAACACGAAGCCAACATGGCTGCGGAACCGCTGGAACTCCTGATATAAATCCGCCGCCTCCCAGTCTATTTTGGGGAATTCAAACTGCATTGTCATGGTCACGCAGGTACTTACTGCTCTCGACACACTTCTGACACCATGTAAAATACTTAAAGGAATTCGTATTACTGACTCATGTACAAGAGCCGGAGGAGCGTTACTTCAAGTGTGTTTATTTCACCAGTTCTCTCTACGGGTAGCCCCAGGGACATAAATGCAGTTGCTCACTAGCCATATGATGCATACATTACACAGGGAAGGACATTTTAACACTTTTGTGCATTCCCTAGGTTAACCCCCTTTGTTTGGTGAGTTATTTCGTGTGTTTTGAGTTTGTTTGATTTGCTTACATTTAATGTTTTGCTGCATGCGTGTCTTGCTGCATGGCTTGTTTTGTCTTTTTGTCATTTGTTTGCATGTTTTCCCATTAATTTCCTTTGCTTCCCGTAAGGTGTTTTTTTGCATTATTTTGCTTGCTTAATTTGTCCAACCTGTACAATTTAATGCTGTTTAACCATTTTTATCTATTCCTATAGGCCTATAGTGTTTTAATCATTGTAATAAAATAAATAATTTTGTACATTTCTAACACTGTTCACGTCTCGTCAATGTCCACGGCCCTGTGCGCCTGTTTAATTCATTTAGCTCACATTTTCCCAGGTACTGGCCCTGGGTGGCGTTGTTGGTACTCCTCAGTTTTATTTGAAAGTTGAAGATCCACTCCGACTGCCACACTTGGCGTTGCTGTTGGCAGGATTGGACATTTAAAACTGAGATGTGAACAGTGTTTAAACTTGTTTGTTGAAGTTATAAATGTGTTTTGCTTCACTCATACATTTACATTTTTTTTTTGAGTTACATTTGTCTGGACAAAGCAACGGTTTCCCCTTTCAGGAGCGCAAAAGTTCAGGTCAGTGAAATTACTTTTGTTTACAGCTTACCCAAAGGTCGCATTACAGGTGCTCTTGGTCAGAATGGAGGAGGAGATGCAGCAGCTCAGAGAGCAACTGGCTCAGCTAGAGGCGGACAATGAGCATCTTCGCCAGGAGAGGGCTGCGCCTCAGGCCGGCCCTGCTGGGGCTTTCCATGCTCCCAACGTCTCCTCCGACCAGGCCCGGTCACTGGGCTCTCGTACCCCCTCCACAGAGCGTGTGTTTGTGATGGCACGTGACCGTAAATGCCCCTTGTTTAATGGTAGGTCTGGCCTGTCTTTGAGTGAATGGCTTGAGGAAGCACAGGCATGCATGCGAGCTAGGCACCTTTCTACTGTTGAGCAGGCATTCTTCCTCTTTGATCACCTGGAGGGTGAAGCTAAAGTTGAAATAAAATTTCGTCCAGCAGAAGAGCGGGAAAACCCAAAGAGAGTTACAGAGATACTTCAGGAGCTCTATGGTTGTGTGCAGCCATATGTGAACCTGCAGCAAGCGTTTTTCTCCAGGCGTCAGGAGGAAGGCGAGACTTTACAAGAGTTCTCACTGGCTCTAATGGCTTTAATGGACCAGGTAAAGCAGCGTGCCCCAGACAGAGTGCCCAACTCCAATGTGCTCCTTCGCGACCAATTCACTGAACATGTATTTGATAGCACTCTACGCAGAGACTTGAAACGGTTCATTCGGGACAATCCGACAGCCACTTTACTCCAAGTAAGGGCAGAGGCCCTCAGGTGGGAGCGGGAGGGACTCCCAGCCCCCTTTAGAGAGCGTAGCTTCTCTCTTCCTTCAGTTCGTGGCCTCCAGTTTGAGGTCAGGGGTTCCACACGCCCCACTCAGGCCTCACCTACTCCAAACCCGGGGCTAAATGAGGTGATGGAACTGCTTAAACGTCAGCAAGATCAACTTAACCAGTTGACTCAAACAGTCGCCTCTTTGAAAGCTCCTCGGCAAAATACACCTCCACGAGCTGCCATTATCTGCCGTAGGTGCGAACAGCCTGGTCACTATGCCGGTGAATGTGATGGTGTGAGAGTTTACCGCCCCTCACGGGCCCCTTCAGCCATCAGATCTTCAAATGCCAACCATTCGGAAAACTGAAGCCCTCTGAACTGCGGAGCCAACGTTCAGAAGGGGCCTCTACCGGCTCGCAGGTAAATGGATACACAGAATTAATGGCGTCATGCCCAACAGTCACTGTAGATATGGGAGGGGTTCAGGTTGTTAGCTTGGTGGACACAGGTTCTATGGTGTCCACAATAACTGAACGTTTCTTTAGGGAGCATTTCGAACCCTGGGGCCCTGATCGTCTCCACTCCTGCCATTGGTTACAACTGCGTGCTGCTAATGGGCTTGAGATTCCATATATAGGTTACTTGGAGCTAGATGTGGCCCTTTGTGGTAAGAATGTCCCCCGCTGTGGCATCTTGGTGGTGCGCGATCCCCCTGGCACTGGTTGTTCTGTTCCCGGTATTTTGGGGATGAACGTTATTCATCGTTGTTACAAGGAGCTCTTTGGTTCCCATGGGTCCTCTCTGTTCGATTCTCCCGCCGTGGCCCAGGCTCCAGGGACAGTTGTAGAGGCTTTGCAAAGATGCCACTATGCAGCTGCTCAGTCCACCGAAACATTGATCGGGGCTGTTAATGTGCGAGGTCCGCGAGCGGTTCGGATATCAGGGGGCACTATGAAGTTGGTCCCAAGCACCTGCCCCGAGCAGTTTGCTGGTCAGTCTGTCCTATTTGAGCCTCCTCAGTCTGGCCTACCTGCTGGTCTACTGGCGTCCCCCTGCCTTGTGCATGTCGACAAGGGCACAGTTTACATCCCCGTTGTCAACGTGGGGACGTCAGATGCACTCCTCTATCCTCGCACCAGTTTAGGTGCCTTGAGCTGGGCTGATGTGGTGAGTTTGCCATCAGGAGTTGTGGAAGTTAATGCCATCTCAGCCACGACACCCCCCCAAGTGACAGACGACCTTATGCAGGGTAAGGTTGAGATTGCAGACTTGTCCGCCTTGAGTCCGGAAGAACAGGTAGAGGTGAGGGCTCTGCTGCAAAGATACAGCAATGTGTTTGCGGCACATGAGGGTGATCTGGGATGCACCAACTTGATTGCCCACGAAATACCCCTGCTCGACGAAATCCCCATCCGGCAGCGTTACCGACGTATTCCACCATCCGAGTATGAAGCTGTAAAAGCTCATATAAACAACCTCCTCAATGCGCAGGTAATACGGGAAAGTAATAGTCCGTACGCATCACCCATCGTCCTGGTCCGAAAGAAAGATGGTAGTCTGCGCCTTTGTGTGGACTACCGTCTCCTTAACGGTAAGACCAGGAAGGATGCCTTTCCCTTGCCACGCATTGAGGAGAGCTTGGATGCGCTGTCGGGGGCACGCTGGTTTTCTACCCTCGATTTGGCCAGCGGGTATAATCAGGTCCCGGTAGCAGAGCAGGACAGACCAAAGACTGCATTCTGTACTCCATTTGGCCTCTTCGAGTGGAACAGAATGCCCTTCGGTCTGTGCAATGCTCCGGGGACCTTTCAACGCCTCATGCAGAGGATGTTCGGGGACAAGCAATGCGAGTCGCTGTTGCTGTACCTTGATGACATTGTTGTCTTTTCTTCATCAGTCTCCCAGCATCTGGAGCGACTGGAACTTGTTTTGGCTCGTCTTCAAAAGGAGGGCTTGAAGGCAAAACTGGAGAAGTGTGCTTTCTTTAAACAGGAGGTGGGCTATCTTGGCCACATCATCTCCAGTGAGGGTGTCTCTACCGATCCGTCGAAAATTGATGCTGTGGCCCATTGGAAACGTCCTGCTCACCTGTCAGAGCTACGCACCTTTTTGGGTTTTGCCAGTTATTACCGGCGTTTTGTGGAGGGGTTTGCCCGATTGGCTGCACCACTGCACAAACTGGTGGCAGCGCTTGCGGGTACCAAGACCAGGAAGGGATGCGGGCAGTCCCTAAGTTCCCTATGGTCTTTGCAATGTGAGGAGAGCTTTGAAGGTTTGAAGACCAAACTAGTTTCTGCTCCGGTGCTGGCATATGCCGATTTTTCACGGCCCTTTATCTTGGAGACGGATGCCAGTTACAGTGGACTTGGAGCCGTGCTCTCCCAGGAGACTGAATCCGGCATTCGACCTGTGGCATTCGCAAGCAGGGGTTTGAGGCCCACTGAGCGCAATATGACAAACTACAGCTCCATGAAGCTGGAGCTGCTTGCACTCAAGTGGGCCATGACCGAAAAATTTCGGGAGTACCTGCTTGGCCACAAATGCGTGGTATATACGGATAACAACCCGTTAAGCTACCTGCAGTCTGCAAAGCTTGGAGCCTTGGAGCACAGATGGGCTGCTCAACTGGCTGCCTTTGACTTTGAGATTAAATACCGCTCTGGTCGCAGTAACGGAAATGCAGACGCTTTATCCAGGCAGTATGTGACTTCTGCAGACTTGGTGGACAGTGTGTTATCTGGAAGCTCAATTCCTCTCCTCCTTCAGCAGGAAGGCCAGCCTCCTGTTGCGTCACAGGCCTTGATTTCTGCCCTCCCTGGTCGCTCCTTAACGGACATTGGTGCCCTGCAGAGGACAGATCCACTTCTGTTGGAGTTCTTGGTCTTTTGGCGACAGAAGAAGCCACCGACCGCTCAACAACGGCATCGCCTCTCCAAGCCTATGCTGGCTTTACTCCAGCAATGGGACAGGCTGACCGAACAGGATGGGGTGCTGTATCGTCGCTCCTGGCGGCCCGATGGGGGTGAGGAGATTTTTCAGATCCTTTTGCCTGCTACCTTAAAACAGCAGGTCCTCCAGGAGCTCCATGAGGCACATGGCCATCAGGGCATCGAAAGAACAACCGAACTAGTGCGCCAAAGGTGCTACTGGCCCAGGATGACCTGACATCAAGCAGTGGGTGAAAGAATGTGAGCGCTGTCAAGCAGCGAAGGACTCCGCACCAGTTCCTCATAGCTACATGGGCCACTTGCTTGCGTCAAAACCCAACGAAATTCTGGCCATCGATTTCACTGTCCTTGAGCCAACTCGTAACGGGGTGGAAAATGTTTTGATAATGACCGATGTTTTCACAAAGTATACATTGGCATTCCCCACACGTGACCAACGAGCTCCCACTGTTGCTAAGGTTCTAACCAATGAATGGTTCTTTAAGTTTGGTGTACCCTCCCGCATACACTCAGACCAAGGCCGAAGCTTTGAAAGTGCGTTGATCCATCAAATTTGCCATATCTATGGTGTCAAGAAGTCTCGGACCACACCTTACCACCCGGCTGGTAATGGTCAATGTGAACGATTCAACCGCACGCTTCATAATTTGCTCCGCACGCTCCCATTCTCCCGTAAACAGGACTGGGCCTCCTGTCTCCCACAGGTATTGTACTCTTACAACACCACACCTCACCAGAGCACCGGGGAGTCACCATACTTGTTGATGTTTGGCCAAGAGCCTAAACTCCCAATTGACTTTCTTCTGGGTCAAATTCAGGATCCCGTTGTGGGCACGGTCCAGGACTGGTTGGTGGAACACTGTTCCAGGCTCAAGGTTGCTTTTGCAAGCGCGCAGAGGCGATTAGCTCTGAATGCGAAGAAGAGGAAAGAAAGGCACGATGTTCATGTTAGGGAGGCACCTCTGGAAGTTGGTTCTTTGGTTTACCTTCGAGACCATAGTGCACGAGGGCGTCATAAGATCCAGGACCTGTGGCACCAAAATCTCTTTCAGGTGCTGAAGGCACCTGGTGGAAATGGCCCAACCTACACTGTGGCCCCGGTCACCAATCTATTAGCCTCGCGCACTGTGCACAGGGACATGCTTAAACCTCATATACAATCCTGTCCCCCACCGGAGGCCTCTATGCCAGAGTTTTCTCCCCCTGAAACTCCCAGTAGCAGCTCTTCTCCTAGTGGTTCTTGGCGTCTGTGCACCAGACGCGAAGATTTGGTTCCTCAAACATCCAACTTGCCACCCCGTGATGGTCCTTCCAGCGGACCCGTGCCTGTTTCAGTAGGGGATGTAGCAGTGGAGGCTCATGGAGACCCAGCTGCTGCAGTGCCCGAACCCAGCACTAGTGAACAGGGCTTACGTCGTACCACTAGGACAACTGCTGGACGTCATCCTAACCCTTATCGTCTCCCTCGCACTCTCAGGGACTGACTGGATATCACACTTGCTGTCTTGGTCTAGTGTTCGTTGTGAGTTTTTGGTCTTTAGTTGTCGTCGGGGCGCCGACAAATTAAGGGGGGGTAGAATGTGGCATGTCGGTGTACACCTTACCCTGAGCTGATTGGTGGGCGTCACCGAGCAGTGCCCATAAAGACACGGGAACGCGCAGCGCGCACGCATATGTCTTTGTTTGGGTGCGGTGGTCACGGCGTTTGGTGACCGGCTGCCTCCTCTGTGGAGCACGCTTGTGGGCTTGGGCGCCACAGTCTGGGTTGTGCGTGTGTGCATGTCCTCCTCCTCGGTAAGTTGCTCATTGTCCATCCTTTATTGGTTGGCCCTGTGCCAAAGCTGACCATCAAACACTGTTGCTTCAGACTTCGAGCTGCAGTAAGGACCAGCCAATAATCCACCTGGCTCTCCCCCTCCTCCCGCTGTCCGTGCGCACGAGTCTTGCGTTGGCCGGTAAGATCACAAAGTTTAGTTTAGTTTCCTCCAATCCTCCTAAGACTCGTGTCTCTCCTTTTGCAGGCACGGTTATCCACGTGCGGTCCCAAGCGGGGGCCGCCGCCCCAGAAAAGAAATCGTTGTTTTGTCCATTCATTGTCCTCATACACAACACTCACCACTGTGCACTGTCCTCACGGTGCCGTGAAAGGCGCACTCTGATTCGCCCACACACCAGCACTGCTGTGGGGCGTCTTCTGCGAGGCGTTCAGGTGCGCTCCGACTAAACGGCGTTCAACAGGAGTGATGATTAAATAGCCCATGCATTACAGGGAAGGACATTTTAACACTTTTGTGCATTCCCTAGGTTAACCCCCTTTGTTTGGTGAGTTATTTCGTGTGTTTTGAGTTTGTTTGATTTGCTTGCATTTAATGTTTTGCTGCATGCGTGTCTTGCTGCATGGCTTGTTTTGTCTTTTTGTCATTTGTTTGCATGTTTTCCCATTAATTTCCTTTGCTTCCCGTAAGGTGTTTTTTTGCATTATTTTGCTTGCTTAATTTGTCCAACCTGTACAATTTAATGCTGTTTAACCATTTTTATCTATTCCTATAGGCCTATAGTGTTTTAATCATTGTAATAAAATAAATAATTTTGTACATTTCTAACACTGTTCACGTCTCGTCAATGTCCACGGCCCTGTGCGCCTGTTTAATTCATTTAGCTCACATTTTCCCAGGTACTGGCCCTGGGTGGCGTTGTTGGTACTCCTCAGTTTTATTTGAAAGTTGAAGATCCACTCCGACTGCCACATTCAAAAGTAGATAAAGTTAATTACAGTTTATGTACAGTTTTATTAGATACTTGCCAAATTCACTTGTGTTCAAACATGAGTGAATGTTGACTATGCAAAAAGTCCATATGAGTGTAGTCTAGATTAATGCCTAGATCAATGAGATAGATTAGAACCAACAGAGATTCAAAAGCATTTAAAAGCATTTTGATGAATTTGGGTGTAGCACAAAAACACAATAGTAGATATTTAGATATTGAAGTTTCCAGCACAAACACCATTGTAGAATAACTGACCCCAGGCCCGTCCTAAGGGCTGTGCGACCTGTGCCGTCGCACAGGGCCTCGCACCACACAGGGGCCTCGCAATCTTCCTTCCTTTTATTTTATTTTATAAATACACTAGTTCAAGGGTCCCCAAAGGGCAGACTGCACTCCAAATTTGGAACCCTAAACCCCTTTCTCTGGACCTCTTTGATTTCGTTTGATCAAAAGAACATTTTTACAAGTAAAGTCAAATTTTCACCAAAAGCGATTTGTAAACAGGCAGGCGCGCTGGCAGCTATGTATGCAACGGGTCCTCCGAAAAAACTGTAGCCATTTTGGCGCATTTTGCCCAAATCTAACTATTAGAAGAAAAAGACTCCTTTTGGTTCAATCTTTTGAGTTGCTCTGCCATTTTGCCACAGGACGAAAGAGACATGTCAGCTAAAAAGACCGCGACCAATATTGCACGTAGAGTGTGTGTGCGTGTGTACGTGCGCGCGCCAAACGCTGCATAGGAGCGAAGACACTCGGTTACACGCGTGCTGATCTCGTCAAGCACCGCGCGAGGTGGTGCTGAATTCATGTCAAAGATTATAACAGGAAAAACTTTCCTCAGATCTGGGAAAAAAGTGTCAGGGCAGGGCCTCGCGTTTCGAGTTCGCACAGGGCCTCGCACCCCTCTTGGGACGGGCCTGACTGACCCCAACCCCAAACCTAATTAGCTACTATTAGGATAATACTAATTTGATTAATGATGTACATTCATCCCAAACTGCCTGACAATATCTTTAGATAATAAAAAGTAATAAATCACTGACCACTATAGAAGTGTAAATGTTGACCATTTGCCTTACTGTGTTCACAGTTTTATTCCTGAGAATGAGAATAGACATGGAGCAAAATCCCACTGATAATATGCCACTGATAATGAGAGTGTAAAACCACAGAGAGATTTATTAGAATAAAATGTATGTTTAAGAATATGGCTCAATAGAAGCAAATATACAAACATATTTGTGAATAGATTAGAATAGTTTTAAACTATAGTGATAGTAAAAGTAAAGTACACAGTCTAAGATTGATAAGTGAAAATAATAAAGTGAAATAAGTGAAGTATAAACAATCAGCATTAGAATAAAAGTATAGAGTAATAAAAGTGAAATTAGCTTCAAATTTGAGACTCAGCTCGTTTTTTGTCTGTGTTTTGACTGAATCTGCTGAGTTCTTGTGTGTCCAATAGTTTTTGTTTGTTTTTATTTTTGATTTGTTTTTTGTTTGTTTTTTTTTTCCCAGGATAGAGGATAAAATCCACTGATATTGATTTGATGATTATGAGTTTAATGCATACATTTTCTTTGTTTTTAATAATTTTTTGAAGTTTTTTTTTGGAATTTTTTTTTTCTTTTTCCATTTTATTGATTGATCGATTTGAGTGATCACATGTGATTATGTGATCAAAGGGGAGGGTGTTAGTATTAGATAGCAATATGGCCTACGTGCAGGACTGTACAAGGACTCTACAAGGACTCCATGTTATGACTATGATTTGACTGTCTCTTTGTGACACGTATGTCTTTCGATGTGTGACGTGACAATGACTATATAAACTGTGTACTGCCTTTATTCTGTCTGAGAGAAAGAAACAGAGTAAACCAGTGGAACTTGAGAGAAACTTAAATAAACTTCCAGAGTTTGGCACACCACGATCCGTCTCTGTCTGCTAAATCCTAACACTCCTTTGTTATTTAGTGCTGCTTAGAGCTAATATGCTAACCACTGTGTGCTAAATGTTATTGGTGTACATAATGCGTTAGTTAAGTAACTCATTCTAATTTAGACTTTCTTTCTGTTATTTGCAGGACCACACACACACACACACATAAATATAGAACCACAGAGATATAGATATCTGTTGTGAATCAGTGTGCTATACTTTAATAAACCCAAAAATTGGATCATCTCTACACAGTGCATTCTTACCGATACTCTCTGGTAGTCACAATCCATTACAAACCAGATAAACTTGCTCTCTCCATAACACCCTAATTTGGCCTTACGCAAGGTTCATAACCGAGGCCCACAGTCTTCAGCTACGAAATGAGCCGTGAATAATTGACCACAGGGAGCGCCGCTGAGCTGATTCTGGGCCCGCCATCACAACAGGGGCCTTCATCCTTTTAACTGCATTTAAACACGATTATAGACACGCACACACACACACACACACATACACACAAATAGACCCAGAAATACCAGTGATGACCTTAAACTCCGATTCCGTTTATTTGCCATTTGCAGTAAAAAAAAACACATTGGAATACATTAGCAAAAAGTCACCAGTGTGCACAGACAAATACAGACATAAAACAACATTAAAAGTATGGAAATAAAACAAATAAAACAGTAAACAAGTGTCACTGTGAAATCGATCGACTAAAACAGTTTCAAAACAAGTGCAAATCATTAAAGTGCTCTGTTCACACTGATAACAGCCTGTGGATAAAAACTGTTAGTGTAACGAGATGTCCTGCATCTCAGAGAACAATGTCTTCTGCCAGAGGGAAGAAGCTGGAACAAGGCTTTTCCAGGGTGGCCAGAAGAGTCATTCGTAAGTCTTAGAGCTCTATTAAGAAGTCTGGATTTATAAAGAACCTCCAGAACAGGAAGCTCACAGCCCATGGTCCTCTTTGCAGAGCGGAGCACCTTGTTTAACGCTCTCTTTTCTTTATCTGTGATGTTTCCAAACCACACAGACACAGAACCAACAAGTAAACTCTCAATGGTGCAGCGATAAAAGTTAAGCAGAATCTTAGAGTTAGTGGTAAATTCTCTAAGTTTCCGCAGGAAGTAGAGACGCTGACGAGCTTTCTTAACGACTCGGTCAGTGTTTTTAACCCATTTCAGGTCGTTAGAAAGAGTTAAACCCAGAAACTTGCACTCCTCTACGATCTGCACCTGGGAGTTGTCAATAACTATAGGAGTGTGAGAACTGGTCTACGACTTCACATGTTTTCGATGCATTCAGCTGGAGGTTGTTAGTTTTACTCCACTGAACCACATTTTGTATCTCTGCTCTATAAGAGGATTCATCATTGTCACTGATGAGACCGATGATGGTGGTGTCATCAGCATATTTGATTATCAAGTTTGAGTCAGAGGAGGACACACAATCGTGAGTGTACAAAGTAAAAAGCAAAGGACTCAAAATACATCCCTGAGGAGAACCAGTGCTCACAGAAACAACATCAGAAAAACAGTAATTGATTTTCACTCTCTGAGATCTGTCAGTTAAAAAGCTAAAAATCCATTTACACATGGCAACACTTAAACCGAGAGACATGAGCTTTTCAATCAGTTTACCTGGGACAAGGCAGTTAAAAGCAGAGCTATAATCAATGAAAAGCATTCTCGCGACAGATTTACTATTGTCCAGGTGACTGTAGACAGAGTTCAGAGCAAATTAATATGAGTCCTGGTTCAGATTCAAATGAAGGAAGTTTGGAGCAACAGTGTGAAATTCATAAATTCCTGCGGATCCGGAGTCTGCAGCAAAAGTTGAGTTGTGTTTTGGTTTCGCGCCCGCAGACACTTCTCAAAGACTTTCTGTTCACACGCTTCAAAGGAGAGCTGTGTTTGACCCTCTGAAGAGACCGAGCTCCCATTAAAACTGACGGACACTGTGTGCGAGGAAGAGAGGCAGCAGAGCTGGAGCTGCAGCCTGAGGGCCGTGAGAGACCAGAGAGACCAGTGAGATGAGAGAGGCCAGAGGAAGACCAGAGAGACCAGTGCGACCAGAGAGACCAGGGAGACCAGAGAGACCAGAGAGAGAAATAGAGAAACCAGCGAGAGGGAGAGAGAGACCAGAGAGGGGCCAGAGACCGGCCAGAGACCAGAGAGAGACCAGAACGAGAGAAACCAGAGAGAGAGAGAACAGAGAAAGGGACCAAAGAAAGACCAGAGAGAGACCAAAGAGCGAGACAAGAGAGAGAGACTAGTGAAACCAGAGAGAGAGAGACCAGAGAGTAAGACTAGAGAGACCCCAGAGAGAGACCAGTGAAACCAGAGAGAGAGAGACCAGAGAGTAAGACTAGAGAGACCCCAGAGAGAGACCAGTGAAACCAGAGAGATCGGAGAGAGACCCCAGAGAGACCGGAGAGAGACCGCAGAGAGACCGGAGAGAGACCGCAGAGAGACCGGAGAGAGACCAGAGAGAGGTATCAGTGAGAAGGA